TGTAACAAGGAACATTGTTACTTTGCTGAAAATTATTACTTTGCTATGCCAACTGAGGCAGCTCAGGAAGAATAACTTCCCAGTGCTAGGCTGAAGGGTCATCTTTAGGCACATGGTCCCTTGAGCAAAACCCCCACAGCTGAGTGTGTAAAACTCTGACTGGTCTTTCGTAGTCCGACAGACTCCACAGCCATTTCCCCCCTTGCTACCTATGAACGCCAGAAGGATGTTATAACATATCTAAGTGGAAAGCTTGTGGTATCCATTCATTCATTAACTTGTTCATTTAGGGAACACTTATTAGAAACCCAGTACACGACAGGCATTGTGCTTGGTGCCAGGGATGAAACACAAACATCAGACATACAGTCCTAGGGCTGACATCCTGGGTAGGGGCATGGGCGGCAGGCAGGAAATCTTAAAAGCAATGAGCATTATAGGGACACCTGTGAGGAACACTTGACGGCTTCACAGAGGTGAATAAGCTTGTTGGAGAGTAGGGTAAAGGACAAAGAGGAATCCGGAAATAAGAGTGTCTAGTGGGGAAGTTAACTTGGCTAGAGGTTCTAGGCATGGAATAGCTCGAAGCAGTGGCTTGAAAGGAGACAGGGTGGAGTTGGAAAGATGGGCGGCTCCAAACTGTCAACAAATCAGCAGCCTAGAGTGGTGATAGTGGTGCCTATCGGAAGCCTTGCTCGGGTGCAGAGGCAGCATCTATGAGATCTGCGTCCCCCTGAGAGACGGCTTCAAAAGACAGAGGAAGACGGATGTCAAGGCACTTAGGCCTCTCCACAGATACATGGATGTCACACATGCTTGTGCGTATGTGAACACATACAAAGGAGACAACATGATAGATAAAGAGCAAGAAAGAGAAGAATGGCCCAAGATAGTTTCTTCATTTATGTGTTTAATGAACATGTATGTTACATGTACTCTGTGCTCACTCAGGATAGCTGTGCTTGAAGGTATTAAATAATTGAATCGTTGTGGCAATCCTGTAGGTTATGGATTATTATTATCATTCTTATCTTATAGATTTAGTAATTAAGAGACAGAATTTTACAGTGAGACAATAGAACTGAAAAGTCATGCATAATTGCATAATATTGAAAGTTTTGTCAAAAATATGGGAAATTAAGTATGCTGTTTTAAGTAGTTAGTGATTTTCCATCATTTAACTAGATATCCCAGATCAATGTCTGAAGGAAGAGACTGGGTGGTAAGGGGAGTGTAGCAAGAACTGGGGAGAAATATCAGCAAGGAGGTGACTGTACTACCCCAGGAGGGAAAGATGAAATCAAGAAAAGTTGATATTCATTATCCTTCCATAAAGAGGAAATTTCTTCATTAGATAAAGGTACAATAATTTCTGTTGGGTTCCTTCTAGTTAGTTGACAAAACCTTAATTTACCTTTTAAAAGCAAGTCAGAGATCTTTTCTATATATGTCTTCATTTTTTTATTCTGTTTATGTGGCAGAAATATGCATTCTAATATGATATCTTCTCTTTGCATCGAAATCCCTGAGGGGTATTCTCTAGATGGGAAAATAAACAGAATACAGTCTAGTTTTGGATTCGCACAGTCCACATGTGCTTCTAGTATTCCTTTTTCTACCAATTCTAATTATTTTTCAGTCTCATCTGATAATATTCACGGACTATTTAAGTTCTTGTATCCTTTTAGGGCCATATTTAGGTGTTTTAAATCATGCCCTTCTATTGCAATAATTGTCTGTAGTTGAGAAATCTCTCCTAGTAGTTTGTGGAGATCATTAGGTGTCTGGTAAAAATGTGTCCTGATCTGTATCTTTTTGTGGTCTAATTTGAAGTAGATCTATTCTTTTAACATAAATAATTAATAGAATCTCTTCTTTGTATTTTTTCAGATGCCATCTGTAATCCCCACCAAGGTAAAATTTCCTTTACTGCCTTGTACATCTTTTCCAAAGTTCCTTCCTTCGAATCAACCAACAGTATATCATCCATATAATGGTAAATTATGGATTGTGAAAATTGTTTGAAAATTCTTTCCAAAGGTTTTTTGCACAAAATACTGGCACAAAATAAGACTATTTAGCATTCCCTATTCAAATCCTCCATTGAAATCTCCTAACTGGTTGAGAATTGATATAGGTAGGCGCTGTGAAGGCAAAATTTCCCTGTCTTTTTCTTGTAAAGATACAGTGAAGAAGCAATCTTTTAGATCAATGACTATTATAGGCCATCCTTTAGGTATCAGAGAAGGCCATGGCATCCCAGGCTGTAGAGAGCCCATAGGCTGAATTACTTTATTGATGGCTGTCAGAGCAATAACCCTCCTCCATTTACCAAAATTCTTTTTGATAACAAATGCAGGGGAATTCCACCGACTTAATAGATTCTTCAATATGTCCAGCATTTACCTGTTCCTGAACCAGCTTTTAACTCCTCAGAGATCATAAGCCTCTAACTCCTCAGAGATCATAAGCCATTGCCCTACCCAAAGAGGTTCTTCTGTTAGCCATTTTAATGTAGGGCTTTTGGAACCTCTGTAGGATTGATACTCTGTAGGGTATCCTGTTTCTGTACATACTGTATGGTTTGCATCTGTTATAAGTAGTGCCGTACAATATTTTTTCTACCACTGAGAGTTTGTTTATGATTCATATCTGATACTGGAGGAATGCTAATCTGAGTATTTCATTGTTGGAATAGATCATGATCCCAGAGATTTAAAGTGATTTCGGCAACATATGGCCTCAGTCTTCCTCTTTGTCCTTCTAGCCCTGTAAAGTCAACACATCTCATGTTGTGTTTTAATTGAGATAGGGTTCCAATCCCAAAGATCCAAACATTTACTTCTTGTGGGGGCCATCTTAAAGGCCACGTGTTTTTACTTATGATGGTGACATCATCTCAAGTGTCTACAATGCCAATAATCACCTTATTACTTATCCTGACTTCTAGTTTGGGTCTGTAATCCTGTATAGAAGTTTGCCAAAATATACATTTTTTTTGTTTCCTCCAGTTATGTTTGATTCATCCTCAGTAGCTAATCTATCATCCAGAGCGGTATTATTCTTTACAATAGGCAGTGGATCTTCTAATTGTCCTGGAAGATATTGTTTTCCACGGTGATTGGGAATAACCAGACACCTTTTGACATGGGGGCCTTTGAGAGGACCCCAAGAAGTTTCCCAGTTTTAAAGGGTTGCCTTGTCTGTCTGTTGTCTACCTACATTCATTGGTCCAGTGTCAGCCTTTGCCACATCTCCTACATAATCCAGAAGGCTGAGGCCTTCAGTTTGAATCATTCCTAGGAAGAGCATTATCTCTAAGAATGCTTTGCCTAAAATTTCTTCTTAGATGTCCTGTTCTACCACAGTTAAAACACAGTATTTCAATGTCTTTTTAAACCTCTGGGGATTGCCTCTCCTACCCAATTTCCTCTATAATCATGGTTAAGGCATTTGGCATCTTGGTGCCTCTTCAAAACTTTAGAAATTGCCTCTCCTACCAAAGTTTCTGTATCTTGATCTTTATACTCAATATTATCTATACACGAGACCCCTTCCTCCAATGGTGCTGATCTTATTTTTAATGGCCAAAGTACCTGTTTGCATTGTGGATTTGCATTCTCATAAGCTAGAGATTCTATAAGTATTCTCCCAGAATCTGAGTCAGTTACTTACAGTTCTATTGCTCTGGACAATAGTTCAAAAAATCCAGTGACCCTTTCTCTTGGATCCTGCACCAACTTGGTATGAGGTTCTATTTTCTCTCCTGGTTCATGAACCTTTTCCAATGCATTCTTAGCTGCTGTATGGCATAAAGACAGGATGTGTTCATCATACACAGCCTGAGCCTGTGGGTCAGCATAAGCACCTTCACAAAGAGGGTCATCTTGGGGAGCTTCACAACCTTTCTTCAAGCCTTGAAGCTCCAGGGTTTTTGCCTCTTCCCTCCATAAAGCTCTCCATTGTTTTTGAGATGAATTTTCTAGCACCACTGAGGCAAATTGGCTCCAATCCTTAGGGGTCACTCCATCATTGGTTGCCCATGAGTTTAGAAGTTTCCGGACATAGGGCGATTGAAGACCATAAGAAACAATGGCTTCTTTGATTCCCTTCAAATCCTTCATCTGCACTGGCTCCCAAACATAAGCAATGAAGCCATTTGAGTGCTTTTGTGTTGCTGGTTTTTCAGTCATAGAGACTGGGAAGACCTTAGGAGAAGGCTCATCAACCTTAGAAAGATCTTCCTGGCATCTGAGAGGTGTAGGTAAACCTGTCATGACCTGCTGCTTGTATGTCTGATTCTGATGTATCAGATTGGAGGTCGTTTATCATTGTTTCCCTGAGTGCCTGAAGTTCTTGGGTCAAATAAATTTCCAAGGACTTTATAGGACCTGTCAGTTTCTTGGATTCATAATTTGTACACGATATTATCTGAATGACACCGTAAGTTGCCTTCCAGGAATAGTGTTCTATCTGCTACCTGGTCATTATCCTCAGACATGGAATGAATATTTTCTGTAAGTTTCCCAATCTGAAGTTCCAGTCTTTGAGATTTATTAATCAAGTCATCATGCTTGGAGTGAGTTGTTTCTGCCAGCTTAGTAATGTCATCCTGAATTGATCCTATTTTGGTCATTAGGACAGCAGTCATGGAACCAATCCTGTCCACTAGGTTTCCATTGTTACATTCTAAGGAGAATGTCATTTCCCCATTGTCCTCACGATTTTGAATTCTTGTCTCTAATTTCCCAATAGTTTGCACAATTTCATTGTTTTCTGCCCTATTATCAAGTCCTGTCTTCCAGGATATTATATGGATTATGAAGCTAATCATTAGCATCAGACACAAATATATTTGGGGCATGACATAATCCTCTCCCAGGATGTCATTCATGTAAGAAGCAGTGAGATCCCTAAAGTTCTGCATCGTAAGATTATTTGCCATTGGTATAGAGTAGTCAATCTTGTTACCAGCTTAAACTACCAGAATGAAAATTGTACCTCCAGTCATCTCTGATTGAGGTGTCGATTTTTTGCTTGCAGTAACTACGTTTGGCCAGCAGGTGGCACAGATGTAGCGCCAACCAGAGTTCTGTCGCAGAAGCTCGGTATTCTCCAAATAAAATCTGAAAAATTGCAAGCAGCTTTTACAGAAAATTAGAGAGCAGGTTTTTTGTTAAAAAAAAAAAAGAAAGGGGAATACAACCCTCACAGATTGCGGGAACCTTTGGAGAGGAAGGGGCCGCGAATCCTTACAGGCAGAAAGGAAAGCGAATGCAGCATGGCTTTGGGGACATTAGTTCCAGCGGTGTGCGGTGCTGGTGGTGGTGGGGGGACACAATAGGAATTGCCTCGGGGCCGCAAGGCCAGGGTGGTAGGCAGGGTGGGTGAGACCCACTCCTTTCTAGAGGTTCAGCGGCGGCACTGGCAGGACTCAGACATGGCAAGCAGGGACTCAGCGAGTCTGGAGCATGTGGGGCTGGAGCTGGCAGTGGCCAGAGAACAAAGGAGATGGAGCCCCGGTTTGGCTGAAGAGAACCTGAAGAGAACCGTGATGAGCTGGAGAACGGGACCAAGGTACTAAACCCCAGTGACTTTGGAGGGACTACTCTGGGAGGCATAGAGGCCACGCATGTAGGCTGGGTAAAATTACTTTCTGACTCCTGACACCAGATATCGTGGAAATATTACGCTATACAAGGTAGGTAAGTCATATGATATTTGTTTTGGTAGAAGTTACTTACATGAGAAGCCAAAAACCCAAGGTCAGCGCTCCGTGGCTCTCTGAGACCCTACCGGAACCCAGAGAGACAGCGTCTCCTTCCCTCCAGCACTTTTATTCCCGAACGTTCTATATACTTGTGACCACACCTGTTTGGGTGTGGTCGGTGCTATGGTTACATAAGATCTCTCCCTACCAGAGCCCACTGGCATTCTCAGGGATTTAAGCTCTTTTCTTGAAGCTTGAATTAGGGTCAGAGGAAATGTATTTCTTTTAGTAATACAAAGCACACATCAAACTGCCTGGGCTGCAAGTCTAAAATTTATCTTTATAGTCTTGGTGTTGTTCTTTTAGCTGAAATGCCCATGAGTTATGCAAGAGTTCTTTATTCTCCACTGCTCTGCCTCCCAGAGACGTTTCATTGGTGATGCGCTCCTGAGGTGTCCACACGGCTGTGCCCCTCTCTTGCAGGGCCGGTGCTTCTCGTCTGTACCTGGTCTCTCCCTAACCCCCCTTACTAAGATCTTATCCTCTTCTCACCATGGGCTGCTCTCCTGTCAACATCTACGGTGCCGTGGCCCCAGACACACACAGAGTGTGAGGCCGCTGAAGAGGGAGCCGTGGTAGCCAGTGACTGGTGTCTGAGGAGACCTGACCACGGAGAAGCGAGTGCCCACACTGGAGGAAAACTGTCCTCCTCCCAATTGTCAAAGCACAAGCTTTACTACAACCTGAATCACTTCCTTCTGGAAAGGTCCACCAGTTCTCCATGATAAAGTTATCAGTACCGCATCAACACACCATCCAAAGTTCAGCACAGTGGCCTCCAAGGTGACAGTATCTTGTCCTCCTCATTTACTGAAGTCCATTTGTAAACATCTTTACATTAACTGCCACTGGGGAGATAGCTCAGCCATGAAAAGCACTTGCTGCTCTTACAGAGGACCCAGGTCCAACCCCCAGCACCACAGAGCAGCTTACAACTGTCTATAACTTGGTTTCCAATGCCCTCCTCTGACCCTTGTGGCCACCAGCCATGGGCATGGTGTACAAACACACATGCATGCAAAACAAGCACATAAAATAAAAATTAACAGACCTGTGGTAACTGCCAATCAACGGCCACAAGCTCAGACTGCCTTCCTCCCGGGCCACAAGCTCAGACTGCCTTCCTCCCGGGCCACAAGCTCAGACTGCCTTCCTCCCGGGCCACAAGCTCAGACTGCCTTCCTCCCGTCTCCTGCATGCTCATCTGGACTGAAGACCATAGTAAAATTCTTCTTTTCTTTCTTGACTCACTCCCACTCCAGGATGTCAACTGTAATACCTCTAGAAACATTTCTTAAATGAATCTAAGAAATTTACGTCACAGCTGCTGTGTTAGACTTCATGTTCGATTCATAAATATGCCCAGCATTTACTTGTTGGTTCATAAATATATTTTCAAAATGATATTGAAAGAAAAATAAAGCCAAAAATCATGAATGTAGAGCATTTTAATTACCTATGATAACACAGTAGAGAACACACAGCACAACAAGTAAATAAAAAGATATTATTTGGATTGCTCTCTTTGCTTGTTTTTTTTTCTTTTGGAGACAAGGTCTAATTATGCATCCCAGACTGGCTTGCTATTCACAGTCGTTATCTCTTAACTTGGCTTCCTCATGTTGAGCGGCAGCATGCTTGCATTAGGTTAAATTAGGACGAATAACAAGGCAGCTTCATATGTACATGATTGTATTTTTTTTTCGAGGTGTACTTCCGCCCAGAGTGCTCCCCATCTCGCCACAGCCTTACCGCTGTTTTCTTTGTTGCGTTAAACCGTGCCTCCTTCATTCTCACTCCACGTTTGGTCTGTTACCCCCTGCTCCTCCCTGCCATCTTCCCCTCAGATCTTGTCCTCCCCTCCTCCTGGAAACATTTATTGGATGTCGTTGATGCTCCAGGCACCGTGTCACTGATCTCTGACTTACAATGTCTGAGGCAGACTTCTGCCCCAGAGGAGATGACATCTCTGTGGTTTTGAAGTTTTCTGAGATCCAACTGAAAAGGACATCAAGAAGTCCTAAAGTCAGGCAAAGCTCAGAAAGCCCACACAGGGCTGCAGGGCACTGTGACATGTGGCATGCCCAGGTGACGGGAGCAGTCTAGGCGGCAGGACAGAGCTTTGACTCTCCGCAGAAGAGGGAGGCATCAAGTCCAGGGTAGAGGAAGCTGAGTGCTGTATGGAGAATTAGTAAGATGAGTGGGTGGAAAGTTGGTCTCTAGAGACCAGTCTCAGCTGACAGCATCACCCAGCATCCGAGAAGGTGCAGGCTCTTTGGGTACGGCCTGGCAGGTTTTGCATCAGAAAGCGGATGGGACACAGCTTATGCCACTGATGCACACGATGCAACCATCTTAGCAAACACAACAAGAGTGCCCCCCACCCCAGCATTGCTTTGCGAGAGTGCCGGGGGGGCATTCTGGCAAGTCCAGGGATGAAGAACGGCTGCCCACCCCCCAAAGCACATTGCCACTTTGTGCTTTACTGAAACCCTTGGTGGGAATCACAGGATGATAATGCATTTTCCAGTTCATGGGCATTCATGCACACTTACTTGTTTTTAACTAAAAATTATGTTGTGTTATGTGTCAAGGTCTCCAGCTTCAGAAACATCTGAGACGTCTCCATATTCCTCCTGATTTATAATCTACCGCACATGGCTAGAGAAGGCTCACTGTGTGGTGAGGCCCCATGAGGGACAAGCACTGCTGATTCTATAGACCAGGCTAGGAAGGAATCTCAGCTGACAGCAGGCTAGACCTTTCTCAAAAAATGGACCCAGACCTAGAACACAGTGTGCAAGCTTTGAAGAGAAGAAGGAGCATGCGTACCTGGTGAACTCTGAGGTTATTGAAAAGGAACGAATGCACTCTTCTTGCCTTGGCCATGAAATCTGCCCCTTGGAGTGATATTTTCATAGAAAACAAAACACTATCCCAGCAAAAGCTTGGTGCTATGGCTGGTCACACACTGTGTAGCAGAATTCTTAAAAAGTCCCTCTTAAGCATTTTATGACCACAGATCCCTTAGAAGTGGGGCCTGCGGCAAGAATTAGAAAACATGTGACTCATCTGTGGAGAGTTCTCCAGCAGTCATAAAGTGAAAAACAGGATAACAAGACAGATGCTGCTAAGCAATGGAGGGGATTTAACTAAACATTAAGTCGTTTAACTCCATACTCTCTCCAGAGAGAGAGAGAGCCGGAATCATAAGAGGGTTGACACGCCCTCTGTGAATGTCAGCTACCTCAGCCTTTACTTCTTCCTGTGACTCCATTGTTTTGGCCACACAGTGGCATCCAGAGCAAGTGATCCAAACACAGCCTCTTCAGAAAGTCAAGAGGAAAAGCAGACGTGTATGCTGCCGTTCCTGTCTGTATTGCATGTGTGAGCATGGTGTGTGCTAGTGTGTGTGTGTGTGTGTGTGTGTGTGTGTGCTCGTGTGTGTATGTGCTCATCTGGTTGTTCGTGTGTGTCTGTATTGCATGTGTGAGCATGGTGTGTGCTCGTGTGTGTGTGTGTGTGTGTGCGTGCTTGTGTGTGTGTGTGTGTGTGTGTGTGTGTGTGTGTTTGATGAGGAAGGTAGGCAAGCATCCTGCTGAGGATGGATTCTGTAAATCAGGGTTTCTCACATGGAGGTCTGAAATGTGGGCTGCTATGTTTCAGAAGGCCTGACAGCTTGTGTTGGCCCTTTCATTTGTCCAAAGTGAATCACAGATTCCTGAAAGAATCATAAACTTGGCTGTGCAGTTGTCTGGAGGTTAGGTCAAAGGACAGTGTTTTTCCATCCTGTGACTGGGGTTGGAATGACATACTCCTACAGTGAATTTTGTGGGGTCATAAAAACAGAGAAGCAGCCCGGAACCCTCCTCTGCATGTCTCCTACATTTGCCATTCCCTCCCAAATCTGATCTTTCAGAACAGAATCACTTTATGCATTACAGGATTTGAGTTTTCATATGTACATTGTTTCTCAAACATACCAGTGTAAAGTCTTCTTAACAGTTTAGTACAGTGTGCAATATATATAGTGATGTGCCGATATTTCTCTTTAGAGCCAATTTTCTTTTTGTGGCCTTAATAAGATATCCTTTCTTGTGGATAGTAATTAGAGAATCTAATTATCCACTACTCTTACAAGGCAATAATGGCTTATGTTTCATGACTTGGAGAGTATGAGGTCACGTGGTATATGTTTATAAGCCACTTTCGTGTTTCCAATATTGTTCTTGACCCTAATGGATGTCAAGGAGGATGGATTCCCTTGTCTGTGAAAATAACAAAGTAGTGGAAATAAATGACAGAAAGACAAGCTAAAATGTCCCACATCGAATGATAAGAAATATATGAAAGAAAGACAAGCTAAAATGTCCCACATCGAATGATAAGGTCGCCAAGTTCACAGACATGAGACACTGTGCAGATGAAAATCCACGGGAGACTTTCAAGTGCCCATGGTGCAAGCAATATTTCATCGTAATGACAGTGTGGCCAAACACTTGGTTATTTTAATGCAACTTTTGCCACTTGGAGTTCATTTAAAACAAGTCAGGGGCTGGGCGGTGGTGGTGCACGCCTTTAATCCCAGCGCTCAGGAGGCAGAGGCAAGCGGATCTCTGTGAGTTTGAGACCGGGCTGGACCGATAGCCTCCAAAAAACAATACAGAGAAACCCTGTCTCGTAAAAAACCAAAAAAAAAAAAAAAAAACAAGTCAGGGACTCACAATGTTCAAGGGCTCTGGAGCTCTTTTGAAATGGGCAGATAAGCAAAAAGACCTGTGCAGTGTGAGCCCGATGCTTGCATTCAGACTTCCCATGCGTGGGTTGTGGTTACCCATAAGCTTTGAAAATAGTTTCCAGCGCTCACCCCAGAAACCCATGAATTAAAATTGTAGTCCAAGGATTGCAGAATTTCCAGAAAACGATACCAATGTTTCTAGTTTAGATATACCTAAGAATTGTCCCCTAGACTTATTTCAAGCCAATGCATGCCAACTCTAGCATGTACTGAGGAAGATTGTATTGCAAACCAAGTTAAGAAATCAGTTCTCAATAC